GGAGCAAAAATCCAATCACAAATCATAAACAAAGAGGGTTTTGTATAAGAGAGGAAAAGAGCAATCCAACTTGGGGTTTTCTTACCTCTAAAAACATATTTATACTAGGTAAAAACGGAATCGGTCAACCCAATTTGAATTCGGATATTTAAACTTGTGATAGAGTTGATCCGCATCGGGTATTTGAGGTCGATGCACTAAGTCAATGCAATCTCTGGAACATTTTATTGTCTTGCATCAACCTACTAGATCTCGATGCCACCAGGTTGATGTAAACTCTGATACAAAATTATCTTCACTGTGGGCTACTCCTAGCCGATGATCTGGTCGATGTGCCTTGTCCAAGTTTTTTTCTTCATCATCACTCCCTTTTGATGCTCTTTCAACTCCATTTGGTTCCTCTCACTTCKTGGCATCCATTATATCTAAAAGATGACTCAAATGCTATACATGCATATGCATGAAATGAATTCTAGGACTCTAAAACACAACCTATTCTATATGAGACTCAAAATGACGAGAGATAAGTAAAATGTCAATCTAATAACCATAAAAACTAAAGAAAAATGTATGCTAAAGATGCTAAAATATGAATGCATCATGAACCCTACCTTGAAACGAATGATCTGAACAGCCTCTTTGTAGATTGTCATGCTGGGCCTAGAAGTCAAAGAGTGTAGTTGTTGTTATGTTATTTTAAGTATATAAAGTCAATGGTATAATTCAAAAGTTTTATAGTCATTGCTAAACTTTCCGAAAATGTCTATTGCTCCACGTATATTGGAGTAATAATTGGGATGAAATGCTGAAATGGTTGAAGATCCTCGGACTGCTGAAACAACGTGTTCATAATTTAACCAAAAAAAGATTATTCTCGGTTACTCCCACTTAGCCTGAGAAAAATAAACCTCTTTTCATGTAAACACCACATTATGACTTCCTTGACATCCACCATTGACCGCCTTAGCGAAGATCCACCAGATAACCATGCGTCAGCAGAAAAGCCTCACAACATGCTCCAACGGCATACCATAGCGTTGGTTGGTTTCCTCTTATTTGATATAGGATCTCGTTCCCATATATCACTAGATTGGACCTAAGACATTCTTTCTCGAGAAGAAAGTCATCAGCGCTACGCCGTAGGACTTGCATTGTAGCTAGCATCTCGCACTTTTTACTTTGACATATTCACTATTTTACGTCTTTTACGAAAATAAGATAGTAGTCTTGAGAAGTAGAAGAAGAAGATAGTACTCTCGAGGGATCCCAATCATAATAAGCGTATCATGAGAGTGGAGATAAATTTTAGTTATTAGGTCATGATACGACACAAATATCCTAGATCCACATAGGGTAATCTCAAAGAGCGACTTCCCGCATCAGCGTATGAGACGAGCCCTAAGAATCATCCATGCGCAAGAGGACTCATCTCACCGCCCCATTGAAGGATACCTATGATGGGAGATATCATGTATTCGCTCAAAGCAATGTGAAAGACATTATTATGCCAATGATATAAATAGTTTTAACCATAAAAATATCAACTTAAGTGCACAACAAACTAAGTAGTATTCTAGGGATCGAATCCGCGTTCAACAAATATGAGAGTAAACTAATGTTAAGATAATGAGTTTTTTTCGAAGTCAAGGAAATTATTAAGAAAATCAAAGTAGACTATAAACTAAAAACATTGGACATTAGGAATTTTTTTTGGAATTCAGACAATTTAACCGGAAACGCATTCAAATTCGTTTTTGAATTGAAGTCTGCATGAAATCATAGTGGTCTACTGTTGTAGTATCAATTACTATATCAATTATTGTTGTCATTTGAATTCAAGAGGTTAAACATGCATTATATTCAAGTTCGATAAATTCACAAAATACCCTAGTATTAGTTTTCGTTGGCTAGAGAGGCTCTCTCTTATAGATTCTTTTAGGCGTTTAAATATACATTTTGATGCGTAAACAACGTAACATCAGAAACTAGGTAGTTATTCAAGTTACATCAATAAAAACAATCTACATGAGAAAACTAAGTTATCAATCCCTAAATCAACATCATAATAATCAGTCAAACTCTTAAACTTCTTTGAAAACCCTTTTTTTTTGGAAAACTACTCTTACATGGTAGAAATCAAAGCAGAAGATGAAATAATGAAAAACATGATGAAATTGATATAATAAATAAGGGCATTGAGAAATCTTCTGTAATTTGTAAATAAGATTTAGAGATCTTTTTCCAAAGCTTAGAAAGAGAATAATCTAAAATTATGAATAGAAAATAAATTGTAGCCTCTACAATTGCTGAAAATAACATATAAATAGTAGAAATCATTTCGATTCAAAACTGGAAAAAGCCAAGGTAAAAAGTAAATCTGTCGAAATCCGACAGATATGTGTACTGGGAATAGGGATGTTAATCATGAGCATCCCTCGTGAATCGGATAATGTGAAGTAATA